TCGACTTTAGAAATATTGCAAGTGCAGAGTTCAACATACAATTTTGTTTCATTTTCAAATTCAATATGCATTATAACCAAGTTTAATCACGTTTAATAATATTTTGCAATATTTTCTCCAGCGCATTTGAGCGTTGATTTAACGTTATATTTCAACCTTTGCTCGACGTCTTTGAGTCACGTTGAATCGACGTTTTACTACCAACGTTACAAATCCTTGCAAAATCGACTGCTTTAACAACGTTAAAGTAACGCTTTTCAAGTAACGTTTTTTCAACGTTAAGTTGCGGCGCCTATGCAACGCTTTTTAAGTAACGTTTTTTCAACGTTTAGTTGAGACATTTTTGTAACGTATTTTAGTAACGTTTTTTCAACGTTATGCTACAACGTTTAATCAACGTCTCTTTAACAACGTGACATATCTTTGCAAAATCGATTACTTTGTCAACGTTTCCGCAACACCTTTTGCGACCGGTTTTCAACGTTGATTCAACGCTGACATGTTTGCTGGGTATACTGAGTTAAACAAAACTGAATATAAGTAAAAACAATAGATTTTTCTAATATAACCAATCACTTCCTTTGTCTAAGGCATTTACGTCTAAATATGTTCCACTAGTGACTATACTCACTTATTCTAGTTGCGAACCTGATATGTAAAAAGTACATAATAAGATTGGACTGAGCGACACTAAGAACCATTATTTACGAACAAACAAATTCAAAGCAATAAAAACATTAAGTGACACATAAAACTTTATCGTTTAGAACAGTACAAACACAAAACACAATAACTTACAGAACACTGCAACAACACGTACTTAAATCTAACATGAACAACACTTACTTAACTCCAACTTAATTACTAAATAGTACTCTTCTTTTAAACACTAACTCTTGATTCTGGACATCTGTCCAAATGTTATAATTTGACTTGCACTTCCTTGCACTAATATAAAATATTTTTTGCTTCTCGTAAGACTATTATGGCCTGATAGTTCCATATATGTGGTAAAACTTTAATAGCTTCCACTGCGAAGCGATAACAACCCTAACCCTAATCCTATCCCTAAAAATCAATTTAAATACTATAAAAATGAATTCATTTTTATAGTATTTAACTTGATTTTTTTAGAATTTATTTTATTCAGTTTTAGTATATCTACGTATTTAAATTGATTTTTTATATTTAGGTTAATGGTTTGCTACATCAATTTAATATTTTGATGCGTGGAGTGAACTTTTGATAAACGAATTAGATGATGAAAAATTTATAATATGTTCTAAGCGGACGCAGACATCAATCAAACGTTTTACGGACGTCTTAACTAGGTTTCGACTTCTCAGTCCAAATTAGGATGTTCTAGAGAAGTCCGCTAAAGACGTATTTGTTAGGACGTCCTCGTGACGTTAACATAAAAACGTTATCAGGACTTCCATATTTAGACGTCCTATTGACGTCCCTGAGACCTTTTTTAGACGTCCTAATTACCTTAGAAATAAGTTGTCTCAAAACCGCTTAATGGACGTCTTCAAAAAAATTTAAAAAAAAAAAGAAAACTTATAAATAACTTAGCTCATAAAATAATATGCGTTAACTTGGTTAATAAAAAATGTCTGCATTGTTTGGTTAATAATTTTGATAGTTATTTATTTAACAAAATTAATTTTGTTAAATAAATAATATCAAAATTATTAACTTATTAATTTTGTTTAACAAAATTAATTTTGTTTAGTTTTTTATCGTTTAAAGATATTTTTCAGTTCTCTACATTCTATACTCTCTGATCTTCAAACTATAATCTATACAATTTTTAAATAAAAGTAAATTGAGTTTAGTTATTTAATTTTAATGAGTTACCAGTAAAGTGAGGGAATTTTAACAAAAGATATCAAAATTGCACGTTTCAGTTAATGTTTTATAAAATAGTAATGATAATTTTTGTGTCTATGTTACAAATAATATACTATGATATAAATAATATATATACTTTTTGTGTTTATGTTATAAATAAAATATATATATATATATATATATATATATATATATATATATATATATATATATATATATATATATATATATATATATATGTATGTATATTTATATATTTTTATTTAGGTTATAGTTTGCTGCATCACTTTGATGTTTTAATGTGTGGAGTAAACTCTTGATAAAAGCATTAGATGATGAAAAGTTTATAATATATTCCAAGCGGACACAGAAATCAATCAGACGTCTTACGGACCTCTTAACTAGGTTGTGACTTTTTAAACCAAATTAGGACGTCCTAGAGATAACCGGTAAAGACGTAATTGTTAGGACGTCCTAGTGACGTTAACATAAATGCGTTATCAGGACTTTCATATTAAGACGTCCTATTGACGTCCCTAAGACCTTCTCTAGACGTCGTAATTACTGTCATTGAGACAAGTTATTTCTAAGGTAATTAGGACGTCTAAAGAAGGTCTTAGGGACGTCAATAGGACGTCTTAATATG